CTTAAGTAATAAGCAAATGAAAACTTCATCTTGCATTCTCTAGTTTACTACACATAATTATATCAAGCAGCTGTACATATGTAAAAGTAACAAAGAAGAAGAAAGATTTGGTAACCTTTCAGAATTAAAATATTTCCAGATGAACCATTTGCGATGTTTTTAGGGGCTAGTTTACTTAAAGAATTACATCATGTTAGATATAAAGTTAGATATAAATTATCTCCAGTGAGACATTTGCATTTTATTATTTTTTTCCCACCAATTACTGGCTATGTTTTGCCAGGTACTTTTTTTTTTTCTGTAGGTCATCAATATAGAGCCATTTAATGGTTAAAAGCTTCAGCATCTCTGCGTGTGGAAGGACTCACTCCTATGACTCCAGATATGTAAACGAGTGTCTTTATGGAGCCGGTGAACTAGAATAATGCAAATCAGAGATAAAGAAAAGAATCCAAATGGACATAACAGAACTCCCTTAATTGGAGCACAGAGTCCTCTCTAGGGTTCCCTGCTTAGAATCATTGTTTTTGTATTTCTCTGACCTCTCAGAGACAGCTGTCTCCAGAGAGGCAAAGGCTGAAGCCATGTTGAAACTTGATGCTGTTATTTTATTTTTATTATTTTTTGGTGACCCACTACATGCACCATCACCGACAACATCCTCACAGTTCAGAAGAGCTCTACTGAATTTTTAATACACTGTCTTTTGCAATGGCAGACAGACCCTTTGCTAGATATCAGCCCTAGAGGCATGAATTATATATCTATAAATACACTCATAGAGCAAAAAAACAGGGCAGCCTTCAGGGCTAAAATAGGCCTTTTATATCCCTAGTGAGCTCTCTAGTTTAAGGAAAAGCACAGCCTTGTCAAAAAAAAAAAAGTGTATGTTCCTGATTTTAAGATGCTAACATTGAAGAAAACAGATAGTTCTTATTCTCAACCAAAGGAAACTTCCAGAGACAGCAGAGAAAATTACGATTTTAATATATTCCAGGTTTCATGTCCCTCCGTCTGTTAGTTTTAGACTCCTTGATTGTGTGAACACTTTCCTAAGCTTAGACACCGGTTTATAATTATAGAGTCTTTGTGACAGAATGGCTTGTTGTTAGCTATTGCGTCCCTCCTAACCCTATCACCTTGGATCAGTTGACATGGAGGTTTGGTTCCAATCACCTCTCTGACACCAACATCTGTGTGTGTTAATGTCCCTGGGAGACAGGCTTCTGCGCATACTTGTAAGCAATTATTTTGATTGGGTTAGTTGAGATAGAAAGACTTGTCTCCAGTGGGTATCATCATTCCCTGGGGCAGGAGCGTGGACTGTGTAAAAAGAAGAAAGTAAACTGAACACGGGCATCCATTTTTACTGATTACGGATGCAATGTGACCAGTGCCCTGAAGCTCCTACCTGTTGTGGGGTCAGCCTTGTGAACCAGATGCTTTTTGCCTGCTGCCTGCATCCATGGAGCACGTGCCTCCATGGATGATGGGCTGCAACCTTGAACTCTGAGCTGAAACAAATCTCTCCTCTAAACTGCTCCTGTGGGAGTATTTTATCACAGCAACAGGGAAGGAAACAAAAACAGCCCCTAACACAAAACAGCACGGTCAGTCAGGTCTGTTAGTTTGTGGTTAATTTTCTGGCTGCTTGGAAGGCAGAGGCTCTTTTGCTTGAGCCCAGAAGTTTGAGAGCAGCTTAGGAAACATATGTAGACCCTATCTTCAAAACAAAACAAGAGGCATAATTTGCAACAAATCTGTATATCACTTTCTTGTTCTTTAAATCTTATCTGGATTAGTCCTAATAGCAAATACAATGTATATTCTGTAGAAATGATTGTGATACTATTTATTCTGTCCATGTTCAGTGCAGACAGTTTTGGGGAAAGGGTGCATTTCCTATCTGCAGTCATTCGAATCCTTGACTGGGGAGTTCATAAATACAGAGAGCTAACTATATACTGTATTTACTTTAATTCCTAAAGACAACATTTCATATAAAAATTGATTGCAGAGCTAGGGAGTTGGGCCAGGGCTCACAGTTTTTGCGGAGCCAACTTCAGATACCAACAAGCTGGAAAAGGTCCTGTGTGTGCCTCTAACCTCAGCACTGTGGGGAGCTGAGACAGGATGGTCCCTGGGGCTTGCTGGTTGCCATCCTAGTAGGGGACCAATGAGCTCCAGTTTCAGGAATAGGATCTACCTCAGAGAAATCAGGCAGACAGTTGTAGAAGACATTGTACATACACTTCCATATACATGAATATGCTATACATATAATCACACATGCATACTCACATACAATAGATAAAAAGGGTAATTAAGTAAGTAATGGAATATTTAAACTCAATTATATACCCAACTTGTGTATACTCCAGGTAGTTCTCATGTCCACAGTTACCTGAAAGTTTTTTTTTTTCCTGTTCTAATTCCCACTTGTAATAATGGGCCTCCCATGCAAGCAGCTTGATTTCAAACTCCAGGCAGTCTTCCAATTCCTGGCAAGGCCAAGTGAGAAGATTGAAAAAGCTTCTATGATTTGAAGCGAGTAGAAATCAGAATAGTTTGGCTTCAGATTTTCCTGGCAGAGGGCATCCTTTCTAATGTCTTATCACCTCAATCAGGGTTAGTAACACAAGCATTGCAAAAAAGGAAATTTGGGTAATTTTGAAAGATTTTCGCATTTTACTTGGGATACAATACCCATCATTTTGTTGTAAAAACTAATCGCTCTCACTTCACTTTGGAACTCAGCAGCCTATTAGAGACGCTCCATTAGCAAGCCATAGATCCCTCTGTCCGTACCATTGGGAAAAGGTGAATTTTGACTTTGTTTTGAAATCAGCAGTGCTTGCTGGGCTGTTGGATGAGAAGAGAATAGCAAAAGAGAATAGATTGATTCAACTGGAAGGTGAACGGGTTTTGTAAATTTTAAACAACACCGTGAAGCTTTAGCAAGGGTTGAAGAGAAAACAAACAAGTCAAATTTAAGTCATCAGGTCGGTACTACAGGTGGTTCTGTCAATGGACAAATGAATGCCCTCTGGGAAGGATGAAGATGGAGACCTTGATTCCCAGAAGGGCAGGCGTTTGCATTTATGATTTAAGTGAATTACTTCCCAACAAGTCAGATGTTCTTCATCCTCAATCCAATTTCCTTCCTTGCTTAAGAGGTATATTTTTGATGTAACCTCAAGGAACAAACAACTCTGATTTTATGTTGGTAACGAAGCTACGCATTGAACCTTTGTTCTGGTTAACCCAGATTACACGGAACCGAAGTCTAGCCATAGGGCAGCAGGTAGGAGCACTTGGTTCACAAGTCTGACTCCAGAACCCACAGAGCTGGTGTCTTACATTGTCATCTGTGCACTGCTACAAGTGGAGATTGGACAGGGGAGTCACCTGGAAGCTTGAGGACCTGCTAGCATAGAGTACACACAGCAGCCAACAACAACAAACAAAACAAAACAAAAACAAATTCTGCCTCAAAAATGCAGAAATCCACAACCGTTTCTAAAACACACAGGCTTTGGCATATTTGTGCCCACATTCACACACACACATACACACACACACACACATGCACGCAGGTGCGCGCGTGCACGCAGACACACACACACACACACAGGAAGAGAGGAAAAAAACATCTGGAAAGTAAAGTTGCCCTTCTTTCCTTCGGCTGTGAGCCTCCATTTAAACACTGCCCCCTTCCCAGAGATCACCTTGAATGTAGCACACATTCCCCTCTCCCCACCACTAGGAATATAAGAAAAATAGTTTGTGCAGGATTAGATTTTAGGGCTATCTTTCCTTTAGGGAATTGTGTTCCAAATCCCATTTATAAAAACTAGCAAAAGTGTGTAAATTATGTATTAACTAAGTCACAAGGTATATGAATTATATATGTTCACAATGTTAAAAAGAAAAAAAAAATAGGCATACTGGTCTAGCAAAGGAAACCTGGGGCTCTGAAAACCCCGCAAAGATCATTTTGCTCCATCAGTTCAAACTCTGCGCGTTAGAATAGAAACTCGAGTTGAGACCCCAGACCGCAGACATCTTGAAGCTCTTGGGAAGATGCTTGTTTTACTTCTTTCCCTTGAAAAAATAACACTATCTGTTTAGGTGAGAAATAGTCATGCCACTTTCTGTTGTCCTTCCCCTTCTGTATGATTCTCAGAACTCACACGACCATCTCCCTGACCTGTCTCTTTCTGGGTAACACAATTATTGGCTAGGGAGGAAGGCAGTCAAAGGTTTTTACTGTGTTTGCTGCCAGGCCTTCTTTTTAACATACCTGGGTGGCACAGATATAATGTTTCTGAAACCTGGCTGGTGTTTAAAGATTCGTGGTGAGGGATGCTGAGTGGAAGAGTTCTAGGAATGGATCTTGGTAAACTGTCAACTTGAAGGTTTGACTCTCTGAAACGTCCCTGGACTGTGCAGTATTAAACCTGCTGCAAATCCCAGGCTGGCTTTGTCACTGATGGAGGAGGGTACTTCAACAAAGGACATGTTTGTTAGCAGCTGCTCAAACACTAGCCATCCTCTCTCAGGAAAGTAACTACGATGCAGTAGAGAAATGGTACATGCGTGTTGGTTGTTACATCCATAAATAAAGCTCACTGTGTATGTATATACAACCATACATGAAGTCTTGGTAGTAGGTCTAAGAACGTGATTAACTAAGAGTCATCTTACCAGCAGATTCTGGAACCAGCCTGTTTGAATTTTGTCACTATAAATCACTTGAGAGTATCTTTAAAAATCTAAGACACTTATTTCCACGGTTCCAAATTTTGGGTGTGCAGAGGCGTATAATCGGTTCTGTGTCAGCCTGGAAGAACAAGGCGATAGTCAGGAGTACCAGTTATGGAGAGTCAGGTCACCTCATAGCCATTTCAGAGGCATGGGCTCTGCCCTGCCCTCATTAGAGTGACGATGAACTGTGTTTATCCTGTACTAATTATGTCTTTTTTTCTTTTTAATCCCAGGAGGTGAATTAGTTATTCCTCTTCTTGTAGAAGACCCTTTAGCTACCCCTCCTATTGCTACACGTGTACCCTCCATTACACTCCCCCCTACCTTCCGCCCCCTCCTCACCATTATTGAGACCACCAAAGATTCCCTGTCCATGACCTCTGAGGCGGGGTTACCTTGCTTGTCGGACCAAGGCAGCGATGGTTGTGATGATGATGGCTTGGTGATATCTGGGTATGGCTCAGGGGAAACCTTTGACTCTAACCTGCCCCCTACTGATGATGAAGATTTTTACACCACCTTCTCCTTGGTAACAGATAAGAGTCTTTCCACTTCAATCTTCGAAGGTGGCTACAAAGCACATGCGCCCAAGTGGGAATCCAAGGACTTTAGACCTAACAAAGTCTCGGAAACTAGTAGAACTACAACCACATCTTTGTCCCCTGAGCTGATCCGCTTCACAGCGTCCTCCTCGTCTGGGATGGTGCCCAAATTGCCAGCTGGCAAAATGAATAACCGTGATCTCAAACCCCAGCCTGATATAGTCTTGCTTCCGTTGCCCACTGCCTATGAGCTAGACAGCACCAAACTGAAGAACCCACTAATCACTTCCCCCATGTTCCGTAATGTGCCCACAGCAAACCCCACGGAGCCAGGAATCAGACGGGTTCCGGGGGCCTCAGAGGTGATCCGGGAGTCCAGCAGTACAACAGGGATGGTCGTCGGCATTGTGGCTGCTGCCGCCCTCTGCATCTTGATCCTCCTGTACGCCATGTACAAGTACAGGAACAGGGACGAGGGGTCCTATCAAGTGGACGAGACGAGGAACTACATCAGCAACTCGGCCCAGAGCAACGGCACGCTCATGAAGGAGAAGCAAGCCAGCTCCAAGAGCGGCCATAAGAAACAGAAAAACAAAGACAAGGAGTATTATGTGTAAACATAACGCCTATTCGTATGTGAATTTAAAACAGATTCATATACACACACCTGAGTACTTTGACAATGAGACTTAACTTGTCGGATGTGTTCTGTGAGACGGGGTACACCACGACTATGGTGGGGAAAACCATTTTTAAAAGGACACATACGATGGTGTATCTCTCTGTAAAGTTCAGCCATGCTGCGAGATTGCAGCCATGGCGCTCGGAGACAGAAAGTTCTCTCTGCCCTGCTGTATCATAAAGCACATGCTTAGCGCCCTGGAGCAAGCCCATGACTCCATGCGACTTTGGATGCTTCCTTCTCTCCAGGACCTTTTGACAGGGGTAGAAGACAATATGACTTACTTGTTTCATAACTGCAAGTGAGTCTGTGATGATGTTTGTGAATCTTGACTGTAACAATGTTGGGTTATTTTTTGTTTGTTTGTTTAATTATGTAAAAAAAATAAGAAAAAAATGAGAAAAGAAAAATGCTTTAAAAAAATCAAAAAGAAAATAATACAAAAAACCCAGAAATAACCTTTATCAGATTCTGGCCAATGTGAGTGTAACTTTTCAAGATCTGAGGGGAAAATGGCCTTTGGGTTTTCACTTATTTTTTTGACAATGACTGCACATATGAAGAGAAAAAAATACTCAGAAAACAAAATGTATGAGACTCTTGCCATATGAACTCAAAAGGTACCATGGCATTCACTCCACGTAGCAGGTTGTAGTATCTCTAGAATCTGTTGTTTGTTTCCTAATGCTTTGATGAACCTATGGGGTGGATGATGATCTATTTGAAAAGTGGGTCCCCAAGATCTAATTTCAATGTTTGCCACTCAAACCTCGAACAGACGGGTTTGGGGCCGGTTTTATCAGAGCTATTGGTTTCACTTAACAATACTGTCCCTGTCCATCGACCCAAATTGTGTGAAAGGGGAGAGAGAAGCCCCACAAATGGAAGCAGAGCCTTTCCAAGGGAAGGGCAGGGGGTGGACTGGATCCGTGAGTGGTCAAAATGCATGCAGATAAAGAAAAGACAATACTAAGGTCTGTTTCAACAGACTGCAGGGGAGTTCCCAACTTGTAACACAACCACAAATGCTCACAAGGAGCCATGTCATGGCCAAGTGTGAAAGTCAGTCTTTCCCCACCCCCAATGTGATAATGTTTTCCATAGCGGTTTGATTTTGTAGCCTGATGTGAATAAATCTCTTTCCATCTCCTTCATGTCGCCCTTCACCCATCTTTTCTAAAAACAGATAAATAAATGAATAAAGCTGCTGTGACACACAAAAGGAATTTAATAGTATAATATATATAAATAAATATATATACAGATATATTTATCATGGTATGTTTGATGGGATGACTGACACAGAAATCTGTTCAAGTCTTGAAGTGGAATGAGAATGTTATTTTAAAAGAAAAAAATAACAAAACAACAAAAAAGCGAACCTTAAAATGTGAAGAAAGTGTGAGTTTTCGTTTTGTCACAGTTAACTGTGTCAAAGAGAATTTAAACAACAACAACAAAAACTTCTCAGATTTTGTTTACATATTTTACTACATTTTTGCTGGTATAATTCCTTAGTCACGTATGTACATACCGCTTTAAGAACTGTTATTTCCTTTCTCTCTGTTTGTTTGTTTTGTATCCCATTCTGTCTCCTTTTTATAAAGAGGAAACAATGTACAGCGTAACAATAAACTGGTTTTGTGGCCATAGCCATTCAAACAGCAAGAAGATAAAACAAGACACATATTCGCATAAAGGTGAAGTGTGTCCTCTGGAGGGGCAGACATAAATATGATTTCTTTTGTACAGATGAAAACCAATCAGCCGTCTAGATTTAGAAATCTACTCTTGCTGGTCTTTGTAAGTTGCATGAATATTTGACTTTGAAAAAAAAAATCTTAAAGACATGGGGCAGAAGGCACAGTCTAAAACAATGGTAGCCTTTACTGATGTGTATGGAAAGAGATGTTCCTCCTTATCTGAGATTTCAATGTGTTAAGAGTTCTCATTTTTGTTGTAATTAAAAAGACAGAATTATAAAAGGGTGTCAAAGCACGATTATAGATCAATGGCCCAGCCTATATGAAGTTGATTATAGATCAATGGCCCAGCCTATATGAAGTTGATTATATCTCGGTGTTTGTGATGGATTGCTGTTCTTGGAGTCTTGAGGTCTTGTGAACTGATCTCCTGCTTTCTTTCTTTACATTTTTTTAAAAGTCTGAGTAAAAACTCATCTGTTTATTCCTTTTCGTGTAAGTTTCTATTTGGACAATTTTACGGGAACTTGTGCATTCTGTATGTGAGCTTTCATTGTTTTCCTCGCAGACCCTCAAGGAATTTCTTTCATGATGTTGTGATGTTCCTGCTTTTTCTTTTTCCTTTTCACGTTTATTTCCCATTTGCTTTTTCGTTCAAGGATATGCTTAGCAATAAAATGTTCTTCCCAAAACCCCTGTGTTATGATGCAATTTTATTTTCTTAAACTTGGTAAAAGATCTTGCACACAGCTAAATAAGCCTTCTTTTATTAAGAATCAAGGAAGCTAGAACCACATACATGTTCTAGAGACTGTTCTGACACTTACTAATTACGGAATGAGCCAAGAGGCATATTTATGAGATGGATTATCTTCACTCTACCTGAAGACTTTGTGTTTAGATTGCTATAATGGAAAAGAAGGTGGAAAAGTCATGTTCCAGAAGGTAAGATGTCAGAAGCACTGTTTTCTGAAAAAAGATTCCTGGATGCTATATTTTCAAAAATGTTTGCTATCTTTAAGTGTTTTCCATAAGTCACGAAACTTTGGAGGTTGTTCAGGAATTGTATTCAGACATAACCTTGTAAAGAAAGCTTTAAATATCTTTCTTCCTACGCTGCCCACCATAGTGAAAAACAACTAAACAAAACAAACAAACAAAAAAACAAAACAAAAGCAAAAAGCTCACCAAATTCTATAGTGAAAGTTGAATGATTTTTTTAATTTTTAGAGTTTCATCCTACAGTTTCCCTCTATCAGGTCTTCATTTACTCAATATGGTTGTACTTTTCTCACATCTCTGGAACTCTAGACACACACTTTACTTTGACAACTGGGTAGTCAATGCTGTACCCTGTTTTTCACCATGACCCCCCCCCATTTTTTATTTAGCTAAATCACTAACCTCAATGAAGTTTTAAAATGATGGTATCATTATGAGCTTTCAGCTTTCATTAGTAGGATAGTTATACTGTTGACTATCTTGAGGATGGAATGAAAACAGGCTTGGCAGTACTAAATTATATGAAGTTCTTTTTTATATAGTTATTATCTCAGATAATTGACTTCATAAAGAAATGACTCATCAGTGTCCATGATGTGCCAGGTGCTCTGCTGCTTTCATCTATGTGTTCTTAATCGACTTTAAAGATGAAGGAACAAAACCACAAATAGCTTAAGAAAAACTTGGCTGATACCTTTCCAGCCATGTTGATAGTCACATTGCAGTAGCCTGGAAGCCCATGACCAACACATGGGATTTAAGTTTAAGTGGAGTTGGTTGGTGTCCTAGATGGATTACTGCATACACGTGAATGAAATTCACAGATGTGCTGAGATTTCTCATCTGTAAAAATAAATAAATAAAAGCATTAAAACTCAATGACTTAATTATGCAATGTACAATTTTTAGGTTTTTAAAACATCCACCTAAACTAACAAAGATCTTTACCTTTGTTTTATATAGAGAGGACTCTTCATATTAGCCTCTTCCATGTTAATATTTGATTATTAATTTATTCTCTGTGTGATAATTTTCTTCTCTCCTTGGGTATTCTATACCACAACTGATACACAATAAAACAATTAATTTAGTAATTATTAAATGGTACAGCTAAGTCAGTTCAAGGTACTAGGTATAATCGAGAAGTGTATTCCCAACTAACAAACATATCACTGACATTTAGTAACATAAGACTGTCTGCCACATTTTAAACAAATGTCTAGAAGTCTGGTTTAATAAAGTCAGTATATTTTGAGGAAGATGTTGTTAGAGTTAACAATTTTATGGATAAATATTGCAGTGAAGTTTTCAGACAGTAGGTTTCCCACATAGAGACAATAAAGACTGAAATGCTGCTTGTTTGCAAACCACTGGTCAAAGCACATTCAGAGAAACCATTTCTTAATTTCTTTTAATGATGAAGTCGACATGGCACTGTCCTTTTTACTGAATTGAAATTTTGACACTATGTTTGGCAATAGCAAGGCTTAGTTCCAATTCTGGCCCTCAATACAGGGCCTACTCTCTGTCAACTGTGGCACCTTGAGTATTCTTGGAAACTACAAATGTACCACATACCCCTTAGCTCTGTTGTAGAACTAAATGACCTAATATGGATATGAGCCCTCAGTACAATTCCTAGTCCATAGCCCTGAAATCATATCTACTTATAAAAAACAATCATTTATTATCACAGAAAAAAAAAAGATTCCAAAATTTCTTCTGAGAGTCTAGGAAAGAAGCTTATTGGAGGTTGGCAGAGCAATCATTTTATTCCATCATATAAACTCACTCACTGCCCTCTTATTTCACTACAATTGATATATATATATATATATATATATATATGTGTGTGTGTGTGTGTGTGTTTGTGTGTGTGTGTATACATACATATACATATACAATATACTGACTCTTTGATCCCTTTTTGAGTCTTTCATCAAGTCTGTAATAGTTCTCTGAACCCCACTTTATCCAGCTTTTTAGGTGCACATTCTTAGCACAGCATACATGGTAATGCATTCTCTGATGCAAAGGGCCTTCTATTCCTCAAAATTTATAATTTAACCATTGCTTTAAATCAGTGGTTTTCAACCTTACTAATGCTGTGACCACTTAATACAACTCTTCATATTGTGATGAATTCCAACCAAAAGGTTATTTTCATTGCTACTTCATAACTGTAATTTTGCTGCTGTTATGAATCAGAATGTAATGTCCTGTGAACTCTCTAAACCTTACTACACACTATACATCATAGACCATTTTTGACATTCATTCTTTTGATAATTCAGTATTTTTCAACATGATGAACAATGAATCCATTATGGCCTGTTATTACTTTGCTTCAATGAAGAAAGAAAATATAAATAGAACTTTAACTCCTTTGTTTCTCATATAGACTTACATTTTTACCCAGAGTTTGAACTTTCTCCAAAAATATCCAAAATCTGTAATTTATCCAGCAAAACCAAACGATTTCACTGAGATTGGGTTGATAAGTCATTTATTTATTCATTTTTTTCCTAAATAATTAGTGCAACTGAAATAAGGGATGCTAAAGAGATTAATAGTAATAATGTTCAAAAAGCACAAACGAAGTCCTTTGTGTGTTCAGAAGACTTTACCTACAGGAATGGTGAACTAGAAAGACTTGGAACAATTAAAAAGGGCTATAGGATTTTAGTCAAAACTAAAACACTAATGAAAGCTTAAATTTATAATTTCAATGGCATTAGGACTATAAAAAGCACATCAGCAAAACATATGACTAATAAGAATTTAGAATCTTGTCAATGGAAGAGAAAAGAGGAATGGCAGACTGCCATGGGAAGTTCTGGTCAAGGGCCAGTATGTCCCTGAGTATAGAGGACATAATCATGTTTGAACAAGGGCCTAATAGATCTGTCCTCAGGAAGCCTGCAGGGTGAGTGGAGGAGCCAGCAATCCAGATCAGGGGCTATTTTGAAGAAAAGAGGCAAGAAGAGGACTTCTGTCACAGACATAAAAAAGACAGCAAGCAGAAGCTGCCTTATTTTTGAGATAACAGTGGTGAGGAAGATGTCAGAAGTAAGTATCAATGTTTTAAAAAAAGGAGGTGGAAAGCCACCTAGAAGCACGATGAGGGGTCTGTTGACGGTCCTGAGAAGAGAGTTTATGAAACTACTTTTGTTTCTTTTCTTTATACACATATATAATTCCTATATATACATATATGATATACATATATTATTCATAATATGAGTAATGAAACTACGTATGTATAAATATTTAGATAGGGTTTTTTTTTTCACACTATATAGCCCTGGCTAGACGGAAACTGATAATGTAGACAAACCTAGCCTCAATTGCACAGAAACCTGCCTGCCTTTGCTTCCCATGTTCTAGGGTGGAAGGCATATGCCATGATATCTAGCCTGGAGTAACTTTTAAGCATCACTAATGTGTCAGCTGGTATCAACCAACGGGAATACCGAATCTTTGTATCTTAGCTACGTTTTCCTTTCCTTTAGAAAAATTGATGACACTTTCATGATTTTATATACAAATTAAAAAAAAGGATGAGAGAGGTTTCTCAGTGGCTGAGAGCTTGCACTCCTCTTGCAGAATACCCAGATTCAATTCCCAGAACTCATGGCAAGTGTCTCACAACCCCCTGTTACTCCAGCTCAGGGATCTGATGCTTCTGGCTTATGCAGGTACATGTGTACACACACACACACACACACACACACACACACACACACACTTGAAAATTTAAATATAAAAATAATAAATAAGTGAACATAAAAGAAAATAAGCACAAGGAACTTAAACAACTTCTCTGAGCTCACATAGTCAAATGCAAGGTAGTAATAAGAAGTCCAATCTTGTAGTTCTTAATTTAGAAACTCTCCAATTACATACTGCTTTCTCTAGAGTATCCATTTCCTATTTTAAGAGGAATATTTGAAAGGAAACATCAGGGATAGGATGCTGTATTTGTTCATCCATTTGCTCAAACTCTTATGACAAAATAACGTACTCTGGGTGGCTTAAACAACAGAAATTTCTCATAGCCTTAAAGATGGAAATCTCACCTAAAGGCCTAAAAGATTCAGTTTTCTTATTTGTAGATAGCCATCCCTTTAATGTGTGTACCCATGGCCTTTGTTGTCCCCATGAGCAATGAGAAAGACAGAGAGGCAGAGACAGACAGACATCTTCCTCTCCTTACAAAGCCATTAATATTATTGGATAGTTTTTATGGGAGGTTCTATGTCAATATAGACATTTCTGGAGTTAGGATTTGAGTATATGATCTCATCACGGAACATTGTTCAGTATGTAGAAGATACATTTCAAAGGATCAAGAGAGTGGCATATAGAAGCAACTCTAAAGTTAAAGCAATAGCATGGGCTAGACGAAAGAGCAAGTAAAACAAGAGGCTGGACCACAGAGTAGGGTAAATCATATGAGTAGGAGCCAGGGCAACAGAACAATATTGGGGAATGTGTAAGAGTCAGAGCATACAAGAGACAAAGCTGTCAAAGGAAGTCAAAGTCAGGTCTTGGAGGGGTATAACATGAACAATGTGAGGCTCAAGAAGTCCTGAAATGTTCTTAGTGCTTAGGCAAGTGAGTTCTAGAATCAGTATGCCATGGCTTGCATTATGATGCTACACCTCTAGAAAATGAGCTCACT